GTTCCTTCGCCAGCTTCGCCCTGCTGGTCCCCCTTCCCGCAGACGCTCCGCTGCCCAGGCGGGCACCTTCCACTCCGGGCCACCCTCAGCGCAGCTGGCATCGCTCAGGGGTCCTTCGCTCAGGAGCCCTGCTCTAGCGGTCGTGGCCCTCACGTGCACTCACGTCTGTCCCCTGCGGGCTCGGCGTGCCCTCTGGCGTGCCCTCTGGGGTGCCCTCTCGGCGTGCCCTCTGGGGTGCCCTCTCTCCTGCCCGACGTGCGCGGTCCTGCGCACTTCCATGGGCGTACGCGTTCCTTCCCCACACGCTTCCAGTTGGCACAAGCCCCCCTGAGCGTCGGCCTGGACGACGCTTCCTCCCACTTCCCACGTCTGATCCCCGGCAACCTGGCGAGGGTTCTTCCTCTCTGCGTCTTAGGAAAGAATTTTTACAGAGAGGAGAGACTTCTTCATATCTGATGAACTTTTACCAATGAAACCTACAGGACCGGGGCTTTTTGTTGCGGCAAGGTTTTGATAAGTTTACTATTGAAGAAGGCTATTTAGATTTTCTGCTTTATCTCATGTCATTATTGACAAGGGCTTTAAAAGCGGGTCCATTTCATTTTAGTTGTCAGTTTTGGTGCTCTTAAGTCGTCCATAATGCGTCTTCACTGTCTCTCTAGAGGCTGGAGGATCTGTGGTCAATCCTTTTCATTCCTGATTTTATGTTCTCTCTTTTTCACCTACTTAGCATGGCTACAGGCTTAGACATTTTGTGGATGTCTTCAAAGAGCTATCTTTTTAAATAAATTTTTATTTTAAAGAGGATAAAAATTAAAATGATACAGAAGTTCAAAACAAAATGATAGGAAATTAACAATAGTTATATTGCATATTGTTATCTTCAAAGTAGTTGCTCAAATTACCAGTTATAGACACAGAAGGTTAATCAAGGAATATAAACACTAACTCTTCCCTTCAATGAACTAGTAGAAATTAGTAGTACCATTATCTTAGCTATCATATATATAATATATATTCCTTTCTTCTTTTCTCCTTTCCCTCATCCCAGTTCTTCTTTCCTTTTGAGCAGTTTCTTTCCCTTTCCCAATGTCTGTTGCGCTTCCTGGATCTTATTCACTCTTTAAGTTTCTTACACCAGGGAGACAGTACGATGTTTACAGATGTGAGTCTTATTTCACTTATGAGTATGGTCTCTAGTTGTATCCGTTTACCTATAAAAGCCTCAAATTTATCTTTATTTATACTGAATAGTACACCATTGTATAAAAATATCCCATCTTTTGTATCTGTTCCTCAGTTGATGGGTCTTTGGGTTGTTTCCAAGATTTAGCTATGACAAATAGTGCTGCTATAAACATGAGTGCGCATATATCACTGTGGTATGATGTTTTTAAGTCTTCTGGGAAAATATCCAGAAGGGGGAATAGCTGGGTCAAATGAGACCTCTAGTCCTAGTTTATTGAGGAATCTCCCGACTGATTTTCACAGTGGTGGTACCAGACTACAATTCTACCAGCAGTGGAGAAGAGTTGCTTTTTTCCCGCAGCCCCTCCAGCATTTGTTATTGGTTGAGCTTTTATAATAGCCATTCTTTCTGGGGTGAGATAGAATCTCAGTGTTCTGTTAATTTGCATTTCTCGGGTGACTAATGATGTTGAACATTTTTTAATGCATTTAATTACCATTTGTATTTCTTTATCTGAGAAGTGTATATTCATCTCCAATGCCCATTTTTAGATTGGGTCTTTGAATTTTGGTGGCCTGATGTTTTTACAGTTCTTTACATGTTATAGATAGAAGTCCTTTGTCCAAGGGACAGTTGGCTAAAATTTTTCCCAATTTGTGGGTTTTCTTTTTACTCTGCTGGTGATTTCTTTTGATGTGCAAAAAATTTTCAATAAGATGAGATCCCAGTTGTTGATTCTTTGAAGTGTTTCTTGTGCAGTTTGTTTTTTGTCTATGAACTCTCTGCCTACCTCTATGTCTTCAAGATCTCTACCTACTTTCTCTTCCAGTAGATTTAGTGTTTTTGTTTTAATATTTAGATCTGCGATCCATTTTGATTTTAGTTTAGTGCATGGTGATAGATATGGGCCTAGTTTTAGTCTTTGGCGTGTGGAAAGTCAGTTTTTGCAGCACCATTTATTAAAGAGGCTATCTTTCTTCCAGTAAACATGTTTGGCCCCTTGTTAAAGATAAGGTGACCGAGTGTGTTTGTTTCTGTGTCTGCATCTTCTAATCAGTTCCACTGATCCTCGAGTCTGTTTTTTTGTCAGTACCGTGGTGATTTTATCACAATAGCTTTGTGGTATAATTTCAAGTCAAGGATTTTGATGCCTCCTGCCTTGCCTTTGTTGCCCAGGATTGCCTTTGCTATTCTACATCTCTTCTGGTTCCAGATGAATTGTAGGAGTGTTTCCTCTAGATCTGTGGCACATTCTAAAGGTATTTTGGTTGAGATTGCATTAAATCTGTACAACAGTTTTTGGAGCATGGCCATTTTCACAATATTGGTTCTTCCTATCCATGAGCAAGGGACATCTTTCCATTTTCTGATATCCTCTTTGACAAGGAGCCATCTTTTTGTCTAAATAAACTTTCTTATTAATATTTTCTTGTCTATATTGTAGCCCTGCACCAACTTATTTTGGGTTTCTCTTGCTCTTCTTTCTCTGGCTTTGAAAGGTAGAAGCCAGAAAAAAATCAATCATGTCCTAGATTTTAAAAGGTTCTGAAAACTTTTGATCCCAGGATTCATTTGCATCCCTAAAATTATGGGAATCCCTCAAATGTCTTGTTTTGTAGGTTATATCTTTGACTATTTATGATTTTTATACACTATTAATAATGAAAACACAACTTTTATAAATATGTTTTTCCTAAT